GAAGGAAGGAAGGAAGGAAGGAAGAAAGAAAGTCTACTGGATGGAACCAGGCACTCGTGGCTACTCAGGAAGCTGAGATCTGAAGGTTGTGATCTGAAGCCAGCCAGGGCAGAAAAGGCTGTGAGACTCATCTCCAAATAACCACCAAAAAGCTGGAAATGGAGCTAGGATTCAGGGGGAAAAGCTCAGAGTCAGCATCCAGGCCCTAAGTTCAAGCCACAGGACTTGGAAAAATATATACCAGCTGGACAGATGAATGGATGCCTTTTTCATCATTAAATGATGAAAAAAGTCCAGAAGAAAGTCCTGGTAACACCTTCCAGGTTGCTCCCGAGTTGCTTACAGTAGTTCTCTGCTAGTCAGTCTTTCTAGGGGGCAGGCCTGGCATTCACTTTATAATTGTCCTGAAGAGAAAAACAAAGTAAACAATAGAGATCCCAGGCCTCATCTTCTCAGGCAGAGATTCCTCCTATGAATTTGAAATGAAAAGTGAAGTTTGGAAAAGCTGAGGCATTATCACTCTCCCACACCCTACTCAAAACTGCCTTTGGGCCCTTTAAAAAGCAAATTTGCAGACAACCAGTTGTCTGTCTTTTGGCACTAAAGTCAGTGGATCTTAAGAAATTTAAGCTTTACTCCATAAATTCTACATTTAAAGTTTATCTCAACAAAGTCTCTTAAGATGTGGCAGGAGGTTTTTAAACAAGAAACTAAGTTCATCCTCATTCTAAACAAAAACAGAAAATTGGAAGTTTTGATCCTCACTGATAAGGGATTTATAACAATTTACCATGGTAGTATTCCTATCATTAACTCAATCTGTCTAAGGATAAAACTCCCTATAAGTGGAACTGACACCCAGTCCCCGGGCTTCTAGCAAGCTCAGAGTCAATTTCAAAATTGACCAGTTCTTTTGCCATTGCTCCAGATGTGGGTTGGTTTGCACCCTACTAGTTGTAGTTTCTTTTTTCTTTCTTTTTTCCTTTGCCTTGCTGTGGATGAAACTCATCAACAGATACCATGGTAGCACTCTTCCACCAAGCTTCACTCCAGCCTCATCATGCCTTTTGTCGGTTTCCTTTTTTCTTTTTTGTCAATCATGGGGCTTGAACTTGGGAATTCGGCACTGTCCCTGAGCTCTTAGGCTCAGGGCTCTTGCTGGTTAATTGAAAATAGGAGTCTCACAGACCTTCCTGTCTGGGCTGGTTTTGAACTGTGATCCTCAGATCTCAGCCTTCTGAGTAGCTAGGATTACAGGCGTGAGCCACCAGTGCCCAGCTATTTTTAGTATAATTTGGAACAATTCATCACCCTGTCTTTATTGGTGACTTTCACAACACAAGGATGTCAAGCATCTAAATCACTACATTCTTTCCTTCTTCTTCTTCTTCTTCTTCCCTCAAGGCTAGCACTCTACCATTTGAGCCACAGCTCCACTTTTGGCTTTCTAGTGGTTAACTGGAGATAAAAGTCTCATGGACTTTCCTGCCTGGGCTGACTTGGAGCCCTGATCCTCATATCTCAGCCTTCTGACTAGTTAGGATTACAGATGTGAGCTACCAGCACCCTACTGCCCTGCATTCTTACATTTTTTTGGGGGGGGGGGGTCTGGTCCTGGGGCCTGAACTCTGGGCCTCCACACTGTCCCTCAGCGCCCACAGAGCCACTTCCGGCTTTTTTTTCTTTTTGCTTATGTGGTGCTGAGGAATCGAACCCAGGGCCTCATGCATGCAAAGCAAGCGCTCTACCACTGAGCCACCTTCCCAGCCCCCATTCTTAGATTTTTTTATATGCTTTTATAATAGAATCACTGATAATGAAGACAATAGTGAGGATAATAAGGAAAACATGAAAAACGTGTGTGTGTGTGTGTGCGCGCGCGCGTGCTCGTGTGCTCGTGTGCATGTGTGCCTGTCCTGGGGCTTGAACTAAAAACCTGGATGCTGTCATTGAACGTTTGTGCTCTACCACTTGAGCCACAGCTCCATTTTTTTGGTGCTTAATTGAAGTTTTATTGTCTTTTTCTGTCTGGGCTTGCTTTGAAACATCATCCTCAGATCTCAGCCTCCTGTATAGCTAGGATTATAGGCATGAGCTATCAGTACCTGGCTGACAGTTGTATTTTGTTGTTCTAGGTTTTGGTAGGAAGAGGACCTCAGAGCTTGGCTTGTGAAAATGCTCTTTGTTAACATCTGAGATCCTGTCTCTGAAGCAAAGTGTTCCTGTATCCAGTAATACGGGTAGAAGATAGGCAAAGGAGACAAAAGGTTTGTGTTATTTCCTCCAATCAGATATGAATCTATGATGATCTCAGAATTAAAAGTTTAATTTCAGAGAAGTCCTGGAGTACTTCAGAACTTTCACCGGGAGAGCCAGGCCCCAGGACAAGAGTCACAGCAGGAAGCTCCCGCTCTGGGCTGCTGCAGCTCAACCAACTCCTTTCACTTACCCCATGGGGGAGGGGCCCCCACGGCCTCTGCTGGGGTATTTTAAAGAGAATGAAGGGAGCAGAGGGTACCTCATTAAGGCTAAAGTGGGGGTGGGATGTTCCCCTTGTAAGGAGGCCCAGCCCTGCCTGCATTTCCTGCTACAGTTAACACTTTAACTTTAATCCCTTAGTCTCAAAGTGGATTCTGAAAAAGGTTGGGAAATCTTTTTATCTACAGTATTTCCTCCAAAGAGGTTCCAAAATGCCAGAGATGCCTCAACACTTTTTCCTGCACATACCTAACTACCTCCCTACCAGGATAAAGTTTAATTTAGAAACTAGGCATAATAAGAGATTAACAAGGTTAATAGTAAAACAGAAGTCAAGCTAGGTGCTGGTGGCTCATGCCTGTAATCCTAGCTACTAAGGAGGCTGAGATCTGAGAATCGAGGTTCAAAGCCAGCCCGGGCAGGAAAGTCTGTGAGATTCTTATCTCAAATTAACCACCAGAAAACCAGAAGTGGTTCTGTGGCTCAAGTGGTAGAGTGCTCACCTTGGGTTGAAGAGCTCAGGGACAATGCCCAGGCCCAGAGTTCAAGCCCCATGACTGACCAAAAAAAAAAAAAAAAAAGCAATAAACTATTTACAAAAAGCCAGAAGTGGCATTGTGGCTCAAGTGGTAGAGTGCTAGCCTTGAGCCAAAGAAGCTCAGGGACAGCACTGGGGGCACAGAGTTCAAGGACCAGGATCATATATATATATATATATATATATATATATATATATATATATATATATATGAGACAGAGCCTGACACCAGTGGCTCATGCCTATAATCCTAGCTACTCAAAAGGCTGAAATCTAACCAATCGTAAGTGACTCATGCCTGGCCTGTAATCCTAGCTATTCAGGAAGCTGAGATCTGAGGATTATGGTTCAAAGCCAACTCGGGCAAGAAAGTCTGAGACTCTGATCTCCAGTAAGCCAATAGAAAACCGGAAGTGGCACTGTGGCTTAAGCAGTAGAGCACTTGCCTTGAGCTGAAGAGTGCTGGGCCTTGAGCTGAAGAGTTTTGGGACAGTGTCCCCAAGGCCAGAGTTCAAGCCCCAAGACCGATTTAAAAAAAAAAGGGGGGGGGCTAGGAAGGGGGCTCAGTGGTAGAGTACTTGCCTTACATGCTTGAGGCCCTGGGTTCGATTCTTCAGCACCACATAAGCAGAAAAAAAAAAGCCAGAAGTGGCGCTGTGGCTCAAGTGGTAGAGCACTGGCCTTGAGCTGAAGAGCTGAGGGACAGCGCCTAGGCCCAGAGTTCAGGCCCCACGACCGGACCAAAAAAAAAAAAAAGGCTGAAATCTGAGGACTGAGGTACAAGGAAAATCCATGAGATTCTTATCTCCAATTAAGTGTCAAAAAGCCCAAAGAAGTGGAGCTGTGGCTCAAGTGGTAGAACAATAACTTCCAGCAAAATTACTTCTTGGGGATGTGGTTCAAATGATAGTAGGAGTAATGCCTAGCTAGAAGAGGCCTTGAGTTCAATCCCCAGTACGTCCAGGATTTAAAAAAAAAAATCCAAGGCAGAATTGCTTTATAAATCTACTGAGCTCCCATCCTGCTCCAAAAACTTCAAATGTTTAAGTGAGTCACACAACTTTCCTAAGCCTCAGAACAAACAGCCTCATCGTTTTGAGCCAAAGGTGGATGGCAGTTAGGTGTGTGTGTGTATGGGGGGTGGAGGGGAGGTGTTCATTTGTTTATTTTTGCTGGTATTGGCTGTTTGTATGTACTGAGACTTGAATGATGACAAAGGAGAGTGTGAGGCCTTGAGTTCAAGCCCTATTACCAGCATACACACACGTGTGCACACACAGACACACACGTGTCTGAGGCCTGCCACGGTTCCTCTCCCTCCCCCATCTCAGAGATCTCCCGGGCCACCTGACCACTTGCACCATTACAGCTGTTTGCTGAGTCAGATTCCTCTCCTCTAGATGTGCTTTAAGTATGGTTACTAGGAATTGGTTGGAAGTTTCCAGGCTGCGTCCCAGGCTGGTCTGTTCAGCCACTGGGTGCAGGACCAATTACTGGTGTTATCCCAACCCCTCCAGGTGATTCTGATGCCTATGGGAGTGTGAGACCCACCACTTTGGCTCTCCAGGGACGAGAACAGAGCCCTGGGATCCATGCCAGGGCGAAAAATAGATGTATACACGACAGACAGACAGACAGACTGCTGAATGCGACTATCTTTCGCACAACCAATACAAGCTAATAGCGAACGTTTGGGAGCATTGCCGAATGCCTGTGGACGATGGGGACTGCCGGCCGGCCTGGGCACCCGGCCGAGCTCTAATAGGCTTCTGTAGGATGGACACAGTTAAGCCGCCACCCCAGGTGTCATTTTACAGACAGTGAAATCGGGGCTCAGAGAAGCGCTATCCAGGATCCCCGGGCAGTGCATCCCGCCAGCGACGCCCAGCCCCGCGCGGCCCGCGGCTTCGGGGCGGCGGCGGCCGTGGCGAAAGTGCGGCTGCGGAAGCGCAGTGCAGCCGGCGAGGCGGGCGGAGGAGGAAGCGAGCGCGGCGGCCTGCGGGGCGGCGGCGGGACGCGCGTCCGGGCGCCATGGGCCGCCTGCACTGCACGCAGGACCCGGTGCCCGAGGCCGTGGGCGGCGACATGCAGCAGCTGAACCAGCTGGGCGCACAGGTGGGACCCGCCGAACTGGACGGGGCGGGGCCGGGGTCCCCGCGCTTAGGGGTGTCCGCGACGGCAGATCGAGAGCGTCTGGGGGTGCGGTTGGGGGTGTGAGCTGGGCTTCGGGAGGACCTGGGGGAAATGGATGGGGTCCGAGGGTTTTGAGAGAGCAAGATGAGGGGTACGGCCCGGAGGGGAAGGGCTGTTAGGGAGCTGAGGAGTTGGGAACCAGGCTGAGGCCGGGGGGAGGGGGGGGTCAGGGAGGGGAGGGGTCATCCTGGCCCGGGCAAGTAACCAGGAGGGCCGAGGAGGGCCGCCGGGGCCAGGCCAGAGTGGGATCTGGGGCGGGGCTGGCGGCGTCCGGGGACCCCGCTGGCGGCCACACCCCTGGCAGGCCAGGGCTGGAAGCTTCTCCTCGGTTCGGGCTGCCTGCAGCCGGGGCTTGCCGCCTTGGGGCACCCTGCTTCGCTGCTGCCCGTGATCTCTTTCTGCTCGCTGGGTTACCATGTGATTCTCACCGCCACTGTAAAGCGCTGGCTTATTTCTCTGGTGGGTCCTAAACTCCCCAAAGGTGGGATCTGTCTCTTCCTGTCCCTGTCTTGTCCCCCACAACACCCTCCACATTTGTAGGTATGCTTGATGAATTTCTTAAAAGCAACTACTTTTTATTTTTATTTTTTGCTTTTTTTTTGTTGCCAATACTGGGGGCTTGATCTCAGGATCTCAGGACTCCTGCTCTGGCTTAGCTTTTTTTGTTGTTGTTGTTGGTCGTGAGGCTTGAACTCTGGGCCTGGGCGCTGTCCCTCAAGCTCTTCAGCTCAGGGCTAGCACTTTACCACTTGAGCCACAGCGCCACTTCTGGCTTTTTCTGCTTATGGGGTGCTGAGGAATCCAGGGCCTCATGCATGCAAGGCAAGCGCTTTACCACTGAGCCACCTTCCTTCCCAGCCACCCCTCCTCTTTTTTTTTTTTTCCTCAAGATTGCCACTTTATCACTTGAGCCATACTTACACCTCTGGCTTTTTGCTAGCTAATTGGGGATAAGAGTCTCATGAACTGGCTTTGAACCATGATGCTTGGATCTCAGCCTTCTGAGTAACTAGGATTTCAGGGTGAGCTGCCATGCCCCACCCCCCCCTTCAAACTATTGTCTTATAAAGTAATTGTATCCATGATTAAATGTGTGGAACATATTCTAAGCCAGCATTGTCAAGTAGAAATACATTGCCAGCCAGTAATTCCGTACTTTCTAGTAGCCACATTTAAAAAATAAGACAGCCAGGTATTACACTGGAGGCTGAGATCTGAGGATTGTAGTTTATAGCCAGCCTAGACAAAAAGTTCCTGTGAGACTCTTATCTCCAATTAACCACTCAAAAACAGGCAGTAGAACCATAGCTCAAAGTTGTAGAGCAAAAAGAGCTCAGGGACAACACCCAGACCCTGAGTTCAAGCCCTATGACAGACAAAAAATAAAAATAAATAATTATGGGGCTGGGAAGGTGGCTCAGTGGTAGAGCACTTGCCTTGCATGCTTGAGGCCCTGGGTTCGATTCCTCAGCACCACATAAGCAAAAAGAAAAAAGCTGGAAGTGGCGCTGTGGCTCAAGTGGTAGAGCGTTAGCCTTGAGCTGAAGAGCTGAGGGACAGCGCCCAGGCCCAGAGTTCAGGCAACACGACTGGACCTCCCCCCCCCAAAAAATATAATAATAATTAAAAAGAGAAGCAGGATGATGGTACACCAGACCAGGCTACTTGTCAACCTGTGACTCTAGCACAGCATTTATCTAGCATGTCCATGGCCCAGGCTTCTATCCTAACATCACAAAAAATCAAGAACAAATGGAAAATCTCTCTCTCTCTCTCTCTCTCACTTGTTTTCCAGTCCTGGGGCTTGAACTAGGCCTGGGCACTGTCCCTGAGCTCCTTTGGCTCAAACCACAGAGGAGCCACTTCTGGCTTTTTCTGTGATTAATTCAAGATAAGAGTTTCACAGACTTTCCTGCCTGGGCTGACTTTGAACTGCAACCCTCAGATCTCAGCTAGGATTATAGGCATAAGCCACTGGGGCCAGCTGGAAAATTGATTTTATTTTATTTTTATTTTTTTTTGGGTCCGGTCATGGGTCCTGAACTCTGGGCCTGGGCGCTGTCCCTTAGCTCTTCAGCTCAAGGCTAGCATTCTACCACTTGAGCCACAGCGCCACTTCTGGCTTTTTTCTTTTTGCTTACATGGTGCTGACGAATCGAACCCAGGGCCTCAGGCATGCAAGGCAAGCGCTCTACCACTGAGCCACCTTCCCAGCCCTGGAAAATTGATTTTAATATATTTTCTTTCTTTCTTTCTTTTTTTTTTGTCGGTCGTGGGGCTTGAACTCTGGGCCTGGGCACTGTCCTTCAGCTCTTCAGCTCAAGGCGAGCGCTCTACCACTTGAGCTACAGCGCCACTTCCAGTTTTCTGGTGGTTTATTGGAGATAGGAGTCTCAAGGTCTCTCCTGCCTGGGCTGGCTTTGAACCTCAATCCTCAGATCTCAGCCTCCTGAGTAGCTAGGATTACAGGCGTGAGCCACCAGCGCCCGGCTGATTTTAATATATTTTCTTTAACCCACTATAACTAAATATCATTTTAACATCTAATCCATGTTCAGGTATTAATGAGATATTACTTTTGGGGGGTGGTGCTGGGATTGAATTCAAGGCCTTTGGCATGTCAAAATACATTCTACCTCTGAGCTCCATCCCCAATCCTGCTATTTTACTGGGGCATATCTCACACAAATAGTACATCTCAAATTAGGCTGGCACTTGTGGCTTTTGGTCACAGAATTACACAGTACAGTTTCACGTGCTCTGTGTGTGTGTGCATGTGTATGAGTGACTATATGCGCACACACACCAGTTCTGGGTTTAAACTCATGGCCTGTGTGCTGTCCCCAAAGTTTTTTTGCTCAAGGCTAGTACTCTACCACTTGAGCCACAGCACCACTTCTAGCCTTTTCTGAGTGGTGTTTTGGAGATAAGAGTCTCACAGACTTTCCTGCGCAGGTTTGCTTTGAACCATGATCCTCAGAACTCAGCTTCCTGAGTAGCTTTGATTACAGGTGTGAGCCACTAGCATCTGGGAGCTTTGTGGTTTTAATGAAAAGTGCTTTCAAGGAACAGCTTTGTCTAAGTGTATCTGGAACTCATGTGAAGGATACATTTCTTGAAGTGGAATTGCTAGGTCAAGAGCAGTGATTATTTAAAAGTTAAACATATATTATAACATTGTCCTCTAGGCAGGTTGGCCAGTGCTTCCTGGGGTCACCATTATGTGGTGTGTGTGTCCTTGTACTGTCACCAGCACTGGTGTCTTCCCCAAACTTTTGTTTTTACCGACTAGATAAGTGAAAAATGCTATCTCCATGACCAATTCCATCCCCTGATCTAGATTGACCTGGACTATCTCTCCATCTGTTTGCTGTTGGGAATAGTTAAGATCTTGCTATGCTAGACAGTCTTGGGCTGTGAGCTTTCCTGGCAGAGACAACTATTTGAAATGATTTATTGAACAAATTCCCACTGTGCAGCACAATATTTAAGATGTGAGAAGACAAAGCTATGCAAGGAACTTTCTCCACCCAGGCAGTCAGTGTTCCCTACTCTGGGTGGGAGTTCTAGGTGCCCCCAGGCAAGCTTCCAAGAGGCAGCCTCAGAAGTTGACAATCTGGATAGTTTGCTTTGCTTTCTTGCTTTCTTTTTCTTTCTTCTCCTGCAGTGCGCCCCCCTCCCCCTCCTGCCATGTTTCTTGGTCTTTGGGTTTATCTCTGTTCCTCCTTGGGGTTCTTGAAGTGCTGGGGAAATCCTTCAGTGTGCGGTTTGCTCCTGATAGGCAAGAGTTTTTGAAAGGTGTGTGTGTGCACTCTCCCTCTCTCTCCTTACCCCTCTTTCTTCTCTCCCTGGGGTGGCTTTTCTGTGTATGTGAACCCAGGGCTTCATGCATGCTAGGCAAGCACTCTACCACTAAGCCACATTCCCAGTCCCTCGCGCTCTCTTATATTGGACTTAGGGCTTCAAGCTGTAGCTCAGCTTTATTCTCTGAGTTGGTTCCAGCTTTTTTTTTTGTCAGTCATGGGACTTGAACTCTGGACCTGGGTGCTGTCCCTCAACTCTTTAGCTGCAAGGCTAGCTTTCTACCACTTGAGCCAAAGCGCCATTTCCATTTTTCTGGTGGTTTATTGGAGATAAGAGTCTCACAGACTTTCCTGCCTGGGCTGGCTTTGAACCATGATCCTCAGCTCTCAGCCTCCTTAGTAGCTAGGATTACAGGTGTGAGCCACCAGCGCCCGGCAGGTTCCAGCTTTTTGCTAGTTAATTGGAGATATGATCTCATGGATTTGTCTGTCTGGGCCTGGAACCTCTGTCCTCAGATCTCAATCTCCTTAGTAGCTGGGATTAGAGCCTCTAAATGGATTCTTTCCCTCCCTCCCCCTTCTTCTTTTCCTTCCACTTCTAAAACATGACATAAAAGCATATGCATTTCTCACATACAGCACGAAGTTTTGAGGTACTTGTATAGTGTGAAATGGTTAACTCTTGCTGACCACCAGCCCATCGTTACCAGATTTGCCATGAGAACACTTGATTTCTACTCTGCATTTTCCAAGACATATAGTCACATGTGCCACAGGATAAATCCTTTCATATCACTTCTGTTTAGCCAAAATTATACACCAGTCCCTCAACACCATTCCTGTTTTTATTTCTACTTTTTAGATTTCACATATAAGTGAAATCATATGATACGATTTGTCTTTCTGCTATCTTCCTTATTTCAGTTAATGTAGTGTCTTCCAGGCTCATTTGTGGTGTTGGAAATGACAATATTTTTTAATGGGTAAGGAATATGCTGTTGTATGTACACACCACCTGTTCTTTATCCATTCATCAATTGATAACAACTTAGGTTGATATCGTATCTTTTCTTCTGAATAGTTACTGCCATAAGCATGGAAGGGCAAGTATCCCCATACACTGAATACCTTTCCTCCAAATATGTACCCAGTGGCAGAATTGCTGGATCACATGGTGTGTGTGTGTGTGTGTGTGTGTGTGTGTGTGTGTGTCCGTGTGTGTCCGTCCTTGGGACTTGAACTCAGGACCTGGGTGCTGTCCCTGAGCTTCTGTGTTCAGGGCTGACACTACCACTTGAGTCACAGCTCCACTTTTGGCTTTTTGGTGGTTGATTGCAGGTAAGAGTCTCACAGACTTTCCTGCCTGGTCTGGCTTAGAACAATGATCCTTAGAACTCAGCCTCCTGAGTAGGATTACAGCCACCAAAGCCCCACTTTCTTTGTTTCTTTTTTGAGCAGGGCCTCTAACTGGAGGTCCTTTTGCTACAGCCTCTCCCAGGTGCTACTATTGCAGAAGTTAACCGCCACACCTGGCCTAGATCCCTTTCTTATGGGGTGGGGGGCGCCAGGAGAGACTTGATATCTGGTCTGGGCTTTGTAGAATAAGGGGGTGGAGATAAGAGATGGAGATAGCAGTAGATAACAGCAAACAGACCAGGTTAGTTAGTTTACAGCCTCTCTGGAGAAGAATGTGTGAGGTGAGACTTCACAAAGGGATTGGAGTTGAAGCTTAACTAGGTAGAGCCTTGGAAATGGAAAAGTGATTGGGGATCTAATTAGCCTCCCCATTCATTTCAGAAAGCCTGGGGCTGGGAAGGTGGCTCAGTGGTAGAGCACTTGCCTTGCATGCCCCTGAGGCCCTGGGTTCAATACCTCAGCACCACATAAGCAAAAAGCAAAAGACTGGAAGTGGCACTGTGGCTCAAGTGGTAGAGCACTAGCCTTGAGCTAAAGAGCTGAGGGACAGCGCCCAGGCCCAGAGTTCAGGCCCCACAACCGGACCCAAAAAAAAAAAAAAAAGTTCAGAAAGCCTTAAGTGGCTTGGGAAATGCAGTTGTACTAAGACCTGATCATTCTACATATTTGCAGGGGTGGGGGAGGAGTAAAGGAATAATTTAAAAATAAATAAAACTGGGGCTGGGAAGGTGGCTCAGTGGTAGAGTGCTTGCCTTGCATACATGAGGCCCTGGGTTCAATTCCTTAGCACCACATAAGCAGAAAAAGCTGGAAGTGGCGCTGTGGCTCAAGTGGTAGAGCACTAGCCTTGAGCTGAAGAGCTGAGGGACAGCGTCCAGGCCTGGAGTTCAGGCCCACGACCGACCAATAAATAAATAAAACTTCCAAAAGATTTGAGACACATGTTTCCACACGTCCTGGGCTGTTTGCACTATGTAGAATCAGCAGATTTACAAGGCTGATACCCTATGTCCTATATAGTGGGGGAAGAGGCCCCCAGTTTAACACTGGTTAAAGTGTTTCCAGGTAATGTTGAGGAAGTTTAAAGAAACCTATCCTATGCCCTTGGCTCAGGAGGAGAAATCCTTGCAATTTCTCTGCAAGATAGTTTAGCAACATTGTTTCCAAACTTTAAAAGCATTATATATAACCCCTCCATTTAAGATTGTGTGTGTGTGTGTGTCTGTGTGTGTGTGTGTCTGTGTCTGTGGAGGGGGTGGTTCAAAGCATGTCTAGTTGATAGAGCACTAACTAACAAATGAAAGCAACAGGTACAGAGTTCTAGTCCTGGTATGGCTCCTAAAAAGAAAAAAAATTATGTGTATGTTGCTGAGGAGTCCAGAGGCCCAAGAATGTTAGGCAAGTACTTGACCTAGAATCCACTTTAATAAAATAGCTGAAAGCATTCTTGTAGGTGTTGCCAAAATAAAAAACCTGAGTGAGGCACTGGTGAGTCAATCCTGTAATCCTAGCTACCCAGGAGGCAGAGGTGTGAGTATCACAGTTAGAAGCCATCCTGAGCAGTGAAGCCCATGAGACTTGGCTCTAATTAACCAACAGAAAGCCACGAGTAGAGCTGTGGCTCAAGTGTTTAGAGTGCTGGCCTTGAACAAAATAATTCAGGGACAGCATCTAGACCCTGAGTTCAAGCTCCAGTACAGGCACCATGCTTTCTTCTTCCTCTTCCTCTTCTCCTCCTCCTCCTCCTCCTCCTTCTTCATTATTATTATTATTATTATTTGGTGCTGGTCCTGGGGCTTGAACTTGTGGGCCCTGTCCTTGAGCTTTTTTGCTCAGGGGTAGTGCTCTACCACTTGAGCCACAGCTCCACTTCTGGCTTTTTGTGGAACTTAATTGGAGATTTGTAGATAAGAGTGTCATGGACTTTCCTGTGCCTGGGCTAGCTTTGAATCATGATCCTCAAATCTCAGCCTCCTGACTAACTAAAATTACAAGCCTAAGCCATCAGTGCACTGCAGGAGCTATTCCTAATGTTGCTGTGATTTCCCCTTTTTGAACCATTTTATGTTTGTCTATTTGGACCCTAGATGTATGTGTTTTCTGTACTGGTGACCACTCTTACATTCTCTCTAAAATGTCCATGTTGGGGCTGGGAAGGTGGCTCAGTGGTAGAGTGCTTGCCTTGCATGCCTGAGGCCCTGGGTTTGACTTTGCAGCACCACATAAGCAAAAAGAAAAAAGCTGGAAGTGGCGCTGTGGCTCAAGTGGTAGAGCGCTAGCCTTGAGCTGAAGAGCTGAGAGACAGCGCCCAGGCCCAGAGTTCAGGCCCCACGACCGAACCCCAAAAAAAACAAAAACAAAATAAAATGTCGATGTTTTTTGGACAACATCCTGATGCAACTGTGTTGACATTAGTTTGTTGTGTGTGTCTGGAATATTTAACTTCGGGATGATTGGGCAAGCAGGCAGTCAGGCAGCAGCACCTTCTGAAACTCCTCTCCCAAAGATCTGTAGGTGAGTGGGCCGTGGTGCACTGACCCAGGAGTACATGTTTTGCTGATGCTCTTTGTGTTTCTCTTACAGAAGTTCTCAGACCTGACCGACGTGCTTTTCCACTTCCTCACTGAGCCCAAAGAGGTAAAGTGTTTTGTGATAAGGAATTTCTGAGCTTGGGGACCTCAGCCCTGGGAACTCAGAGGGTGAAGGCTTGGTTTGCGCTCTTCCCTCCCTGCAGGTGGAACAGTTTCTGGCTCGGCTCTCCGAATTTGCCACCACCAATCAGATGAGTCTCGGGCCCCTCAAAAGCCTCGTGAAGAGTCTCCTCCTGGTACCAAATGGTGAGTATCCTCCAGAAAAAGATGGCCAGAGACTTTACTGAACCTTCCTATAGTCAGACCACTGACCACAGAAGCATGCTCTGGGCCGTGAGCTGGGGAGTCAGATGAAGCACACGTGGGAAGCTCTCACAGCCCAGAGAAAGAAACCAGCGATGTAGAGGTGCCACAGTCAACCCTCCATATGCTTAGCTTCCAGGTCTGTGGATTCAACCAGCCAAGGATTAAAACTACTCAAAAAGAATTATATCTGAAACCAGGCACCGGTGGCTCATGCCTGTAATCCTAGCTACTTAGAAGGCTGAGATCTGAGGATCACAGTTCAAAGCCAACCTGGGCATGAAGTCCGTGAGAAACTTACCACCAAAAAAACAGAAGTAGAGCTGTGAGTCAATGTGGTAGAGGGCTAGCCTTGAGCAGAAAAGCTCAGAGACAGAGCCCAGGCCCTGAGTTCAAGCCCCACCAAAAAAAAAAAAATGTATCTGTTGTATTTGCACTGAACATGGATATTTTCTGCTAATTATTCCCTGAACAGCAGTGTAGCAACTACTTGTGGCATCTATGATGTGTGAGGCACTGTAGGTGACCTAGAGACAATGCCAAGTGCACAGGAAAGTGTGTGGGGATCACATGCAGATGCCGTGTCATATTACATAAGGGATGTGAATACCTGTGGGTTTGGGATTCTGGGGGTCTTGGGACCAGTCTCTAGAGGATACCCAGGGACAACTGAGTAACATAGCTAAGATGCTGTGTGCAGAGTGACACAGCACAAAATTCATTTCCCAAACGGTTCTCTTCTTCTCTTCACAATACAGAATTCTTTTTTCTGGTTCTAGAGCCTTGAACTCAGAGCATGGGTCCTGTCCCTGAACCGCTTCTACTCAAGGCTAGTGCTCCACGATTTGAGCTCCACTTACAGCCTTTTCTGAGTAGTTTATTGGTGGTGAGAGTGTCATAGACTTTCCTGCCTGGGCTGGCTTCAAACCATGGTCCTCAGCTCTCAGCTTCCTGAGTAGCTAGGATTATAGGTATGAGCTCTTAGCACCCAGTGGGAAAGAAACTATTTCTAGTTTCTTTAAGTAGTTGTACAAAGGGTTTACCATCCAACAAATCACTTTATAAGCACAATGTATCTTGATTGATGTCACCCCTTTCATCATTCTTCCCCCCATATAGAAACTTTTATAATCAGACATAGCTCTTCTTCTGCCCCCCCCCCTCCCCCAACTCCCTGCAGTGCTTGCTGGGGATTGAATCCAGGGCCTTGTCCATACAAAGTACTCTACTACTACCAGCTACACACCTACCCCAAGTCAGTCCATGATAGATTGGAAATAAAAAGATAGGTCCTTGGGCTGGGAATGTGGCTTAGTGTCGAGTGCTTGCCTAGTACACATGAAGCCCTGGGGTTTGGTTCCTCAGTACCTCATACACAGAAGAAGCTAGAAGTGGTGCTATGGCTCAAGTGGTAGAGTGGTAGCCTTGAGCAAAAGACCAGGCATGAGTTCAAGCCCCAGGACTGGCAAAAAAAAAAAAAAAAAAAGCTGGGCATAGATGGCTCACTCCTTAATCCTCGCTACTCAGGAGGCTGAGATCTGAGGATCGAGGTTCAAAGCCAGCCTGGGCAGGAATGTCTATGACACTCTTTTTTTTTTTGGTCTGGTCATGGGGCCTGAACTCTGGGCCTGGGCGCTGTCCCTCAGCTCTTCAGCTCAAAGCTAGCGCTCTACCACTTGAGCCACAGCGCCACTTCCGGCTTTTTTCTTTTTGCTTACATGGTGCTGACGAATCGAACCCAGGGCCTCAGGCATGCAAGGCAAGCGCTCTACCACTGAGCCACCTTCCCAGCCAGTCTATGACACTCTTATCTCCAATAAACCACTCAGAAAACTGGAAGTGGCATTGTGGCTCAAGTGGTAGAGCGCTAGCCTTGAGCTGAAGAGCTGAGGGATAGCACCTGGGCCCTAGAGTTCAAGCCCCATAGCCTACCGAAAAAAAGGATAAGTCCTCCCTCATCACAACTTTTTTTTCTACTCTAGAGATAATTTTCTTTTTCTTTTTTTTTTGTCAGTCATGGGGCTTGAACTCTGGGCCTAGTGCTGTCCCTCAGCTCTTCAGCTCAAGGCTAGCGCTCTACCACTCGAGCCACAGCACCACTTCCAGTTTTCTGGTGGTTAATTGGAGACAAGAGTGTCATAGACATTCCTGCCCAGGCTGGCTTTGAACTTCCATCCTCAGATCTCAGCATCTATTTTTTTTTTTTTTGGTCGGTTGTTGGGCCTGAACTCTGGGCCTGGGCGCTGTCCCTTAGCTCTTCAGCTCAAGGTGTTTGTGTGTGTGAGAGAGCGACAGAGAGAGAGAGAGAGAGAGGGGAGAGAGATCCCCCCACACACACCCTCCTGGGGCTGGTAGTAAAGCTTAGTAACAGAACATTTGCTTATATTAACAATGATCAACCTATCACCAAATTATTTAAATTATTGCATTTGTACCTCCCTACCTCCCTACTGCTCACTGGTCTCCAACCGGGTTTTTTTTTTGCCAGTCCTGGGGCTTGAAATCAGGTCCTGGACACTGCCATTGAGCTTCTTTTGCTCAAGGCTAGCACTCTACCACTTGAGCCACATTTTGTTTATGTGGTACAGAGGAATGGATCTCAGGCTTTCATGCATGCTAAGCAAGCACTCTATCACTAAGCCACATTCCCAGCCCCTCCAACCTCCATTATTTTAGCTTTTTTTTTTTTTTCCCAGGGCTGAGGACGGAACCCAGGGCCTTGCACGCACCGGGCAGGCGCCCTTCCGCTGGGCTAAAACCCCCAGCCCCCCTCCATTATTTTAAAGCAAGTTCCTAAATACCTATTATCTGTCTCTGAAAGATATGCACTAGCCATTATCATATCTAAAAGGAAAATATGCAGTCTGAGAGCAAAGTGCAGGGTTATCTCCTGCATTGTAAGTACCTCCGGCCACTTCCCCTCTGGATTGGGGATTCCCACAGGCCTGACCTTGCATTTGGTTGCTGCGTGGCCTCCTGCACTCACTACCTTCCCTGGCAACACACCTGTCTACCTGGCCCAGTGACCTTGAGCCAAGTTCTTAACCCTATCAGACTTAGTTTCTTCAGCTCTGAAACTGGTAAAACATTGTTTACGGGATGGGGTAAAATGGTAAATGTAAAGTGGTAGCTGTATGTATATTATCTGCTGGATAGAACCCCAGGTTGCCTAGCAACAGCAGCACTATTGAGTTTGCTTTTATTTTGATACTTAGCAAGGATATGGCCCTGTGGGTGATTGGTAAGTGATTTTTTTTTCTTTTTTTTTTTTGTTTTTTTTTGTCTGAACTCTGGGCCTGGGTGCTGTCCCTCAGCTTTTCAGCTCAAGGCTAGCACTCTACCACTTCAGCTACAGCGCCATTTCCAGGCTCCTTGAACTCAGGGCCTGGGCACTGTCCCTGAGTCTCTTTGTGCTCAAGGCTAGCATTCTATCAACTGAGCTACAGCTCCACTTCTGGTTTTTTGAGTGGTTAATTGGATAAGCATCTCATGGGGACTTTTCTGCCCAGGCTAGCTTCAAAAAATGATCCTCAGATCTCAGCCTCCTGAGTAGCTAGGATTATAGGTATGAGTCCCTGGTGCCCAGCTTGAGCTGGGATTAACTAAGGGACTGTACATGGTAGGTAGGAGTTAATTGGATAGTCTAGGAAACAGTCCTTTCCCCAGAGCCTGCATGGAGGAGGTTTCCTGGGGTTGGGACTTTTTTAAAATTTCACTCTGGCTTCCTTGCTCCATCTGATTTTAGAGATAAAAGATTTCCTCTCTTTGTTTAAAGGATTGATTTCTCAAGGCACCGCAGCCTTTAGGATTGTTTTCCTGGAGCGAGATGAGGGGTAGGAACTGGAGCTTCCAGTGTATATTCTGGACACTCCCTCCATAGCAATGGATGGCTTCTTGGTGATTAAGCAGTGGAAATGGTTTTGGAGACAGGGCAGTGGGAGGGGTGCAGGAATAGGAAGAAGGGTAAGTAAATGTGGTGATTGTATTCAATGTACATCATGTAAAAATAGAATATGTAACTTGAGGGTAGGGATGGAAGGGGGTAATGGGGTAGACTGAAGGAAGGGGTGACATTGACCAAGAAATGTACTTAAAAGCTGACTTATGGAATTATAGTCTCTTTGTACAACTACATCATCACCATCATCATCCATCATCATCATCATCATCATCTTCATAGTAAATGAGACATTTTTAAGTGATTGCCAAATTTTGATAGCTGCAGCCTGAAGTTTAAATATTAAGAAGTCCAGGATGCTGCCCACCCTTCCTCCGCCCTCCCCTCAGGAACCGAGGCTTAAAAGCAGATGGAGCAGGCCAGTGGGGAGTTACGCAGGCTTCTAAGGGGAAGCCAGGGTACCCTTGTAGAGGTGACTGTGAGCTGTGGTGGCCAGCCCATTCAACCCATCTAGGCTACTGCATGGACACTGATTTCTTAAGATAGTGATCTCCAATGGAGCTTGCTTTCTTGGTTGCTTCCTTTTTTTTTTTCCTGTCGGTCATAGGGATTGAACTCAGTCCCTGAGCATTTTTGTTCAAGGCTAGTGCTCTACCATTTTGAGCCAGAGCACTTATTTTTTGCTTCCTTTTTTTGTACTAGGGATCGAACCCAGGACATTGCACTTACTAGGCAACTACTTTGTCACTGAGCTACATCCCAACTCCAGTGGAGCTTTTTGTACAGATGGATATGGCCTAGAATCTACTCTGTCTACTCTAGTGCTTGTGTCTATGTGGCTTATTCAAGGGGTTTCTACTTATTTAATTATTTAGATGCCAATCCTGGGGATTGAACTTGGGGCTTGAGCACTATCCCTCAGCTTTTGTGCTCAGGCTAGCATTTTACCACTTGAGCCATAGCTCCACTTATGGCTTGTTTTGTTTTGTATTGTTTTATTTGTTTGTTGTCGTTCATGGGACTTGAACTCAGGGTATGTATGAGCTCTGTTCCTGAGCTCTTTTCCTCAAGGCTAGTGCTCTACCACTTTGGAGCCACAGCACCACTTTTAGTTTTCTGGTGGTCAATTGGAGAGTTTCATGGAGTTTTTCCTGCCCAAGTCCTGCCCAGGCAGGCTTCAAGCTGCAATCCTCAGATCTCAGCATCCTGAGTAGCTAGAATTACAGGTATGAGCCACCAGCACCTGGCTAGGGGTTTCAGTTAACATGTCCATTAATGACTACAATCCATCTTGATCAATGTCATCTCTTCCTTGACTACCCCCTCCCATCTATCCCATCCCCACCTCTCATCAAGTTACCTTGCTTTATTTTCACAAACGTACATTGAGATTTGTGCCTGTATTTGCCCTCCTATCTTCCCTCCATCTGTTCCCTTTCTTTTATCCCTGAGCCTGCAAACCAGACACATTTCAGTTTCCTGGTTTCCATTTGTCCATGTTGTTCATGGCTACCCACCCCTGTGTATGCCATATTTTCTTTTTTTTTTTTTTTATTGTAAAGATACTGACAGAGAGGTTACAGTTACAGGAGTAAGGTAATGAGTACATTTCCTATCGAGCATTGTTACCCCCTCCTTTGTTTTCCCCTACCATCCCATCCCTTCTCTCCACCCCCCCCAAGTTGTAAAGTTCATCTTCAACATAGTGTCTTGGGGTGGGGGGTAGAAGATGGGAAGGGATGGTAAGGGGAAACAAAGGAGGAGGCAACAATGCTTGATAAGAAAGGTACTCATTACCTTGCCCATGTAATTGTAACCCCTCTGTACGGTATTTTCACAATAAAACAAAAACAAAACAAAACAAAAAAACATAGTGTCTTATATATCTCATTGTTACAATGGGTCAACCTGTATCCTTTTTTTATTTTGTTGGTCCTGGAGCTTGAACTCTGGACCTGGGCACTGTCCCTAAGTTCTTCAGCTCAAGGCGAGCCCTCTACCACTTGAGCCACAGTGCCACTTCTGGTTTTCTGGTGGCTAATTGGAGATAAGAGTGTCACAGATGTTCCTGCCTGGGCTGGCTTCGAACTGTGAACCTCAGATCTCAGCCTCCTTAGTAGCTAGGATTATAGGTGTGAGCCACTGCCACCCGTCTGGCTGTAGTAGTTCTTGACTGGAGTGAGATGAAACCTCAGTGTTGTTTTGATTAGCATTTGCTTCATGGCCAGGAATACTGAGCATTTCTTTATATATTTATTGGCCATTTGTTCTTCTGAGAAATGTCTATTTAGCTTCTTTACTCATTTGTTAATTAAGTTATTGGGGGGTAGTTTTTTAGACCTCCTTGTATGTTCTGATCATTAGACCCTTGTCAGATATAATGCTAGCAAAGATCTCTCATTCGGAAGATTTTTTTAGAGGCTCTTCAGAAGCTTTTTGGTTTGATGCAATCCCATTTATCAATTCTCTCTCCTATTCATGGAGCCCCTGGAATTTTATTCAGGAAGTTCCTACATAGTCCAATTAGTTCTAGTGTTTTTCGTTTGTCTTTTGATTTTTGTTTTTGTTAGTCATGGGGCCTGAACTCTGGGCCTGGGCACTGTCCCTCAGCTCTTCAGCTCAAGGCTAGTCCTCTACCACTTGAGCCACAGTGCCACTTCCGGCTTTTTCTACTTATCTGCTGCTGAGGAATTGAACCCAGAACCTCATGCATACAAGGCAAGCACTCTACCACTGAGCTACCTTCTCAGCCCCTCTAGTGTTTTTTTTGTTTTGTTTTTTTTGTCAGTCGTGGGGCTTGAACTCTGGGCTTGGGCACTGTCCCTGTGCTCTTTAGCTCAAGGCTACCACTTGAGCCACAGTGCCACTTCCGTTTGTTTGTTTTTTTTTTTTTTGGTCCGGTCCTAGCACCTGAACTCTGGGCCTGGACGCTGTCCCTCAGCTCTTCAGCTCAAGGCTAGCACTCTACCACTTGAGCCACAGCGCCACTTCCGACTTTTTTCTTTTTGCTTATGTGGTGCTTAGGAATCGAATCCAGGGCCTCATGCATGCAAGGCAAATGCCACTGAGCCATCTTCCCAGCCCCACTTGCGGTTTTCTAGTGGTTTATTGGAGATAGTGTTAAGGACTTTCCTGCCCGGGCTGGCTCTGAACCATGATCCTCAGATTCCCAGCCTCCTGAGTAGCTAGGATTACAGGCGTGAGCCACCAGCACCCAGCTCTAGTGTTTTTTTCTACCTTTCTAGTAATAGTTTCAAGGTTTCAGGCCTTACATTGAGGCCTTTGATGCACTTTGAACTGATATTAGTACAAAGTAAAAGATAAGGATTCAGGGCTGGGAAGGTGGCTCAGTGGTAGAGCGCTTGCCTTGCATGCCTGAAGCCCTGGGTTTGATTCCTCAGCACCACATAAGCAAAAAGAAAAAAAAAGCCGGAAGTGGCGCTGTGGCTCAAGTGGTAGAGCGCTAGCCTTGAGCTGAAGAGCTGAAGGACAGCGCCCAGGCCCAGAGTTCAGGCCCCATGACCGGACCCCAAAAAAAAAAAAAAAGATAAGGATTCAATATGGAATTGTAATTTTCTTCATTTATTTTGAAACAGGGTCTCTAACTCCTGCATTCAAGTGTTCCTCCTAGCTCAGCCTTTGAAGTAGCTGGAACTACAGGCACAAGCCACTATGGCCAGCTTTTTTTTTTTTTTTTTTAAACAGTCCTGTGGCTTGAACTTAGGGTCTAAGCACCCTAAACTTCTTTTGCTCAAGGCTAGTGCTCTACCACTTGAGCCACAGCACCACTTCCGACTTTTTCTGTATATAGGTACTGAGGAATTGAACCCAGGGCTTCATGCATGCTAGGCAAGCACTCTACACTAAGCTACATTCCCAGTCCCCTATGGCTAATATTTATTGAATTACGATGAAAATGTTAGTGGTCTCACACAACAAGTGCTTTACCAGGCTGCCATCAAGTCTTCCTCTCCCCGGCTTGCCCCTCCACACCCTCCTTACCCTTTGCCCCAGTAATCTATAGCCACACTCATTCTTCTTAATTATCATCCCACAACCTTTCTGTGGTCTCTAGTCTGTGCACCCTCCTTGGAGATTAGTGGTGGGTGGAGAGAGTAAACCTGCAGCTAACAAGCACGTTGTCTTGCCCGATTCCCAAGTGCATTTTCTCCCCAGCTGGCTGGACACCTTCATGGAGCCTTTGTAGCTCTGTGTCATAGGAGCTGTCTCTCTGATACGGACTGTGCACTCATTCCATGATTTCTCCCTGCCTCCAGGTGCCTTGAAGAAGAACCTCACAGCAGAACAGGTCCAGGCAGATCTCATAACTCTGGGTAGGTCATTTACACAAGGCTGACCTGGGAGCAGGCCTCTGGGCTTTAAATTATGTTAATGAATCCTTCTGTTCTCTTCCAGGTCTTAATGAGGAGAGAGCCACTTACTTTTCTGAAAAGGTATAATTCCTCTTAATCAAGGTTAAGATCGTTGACTTGTATTTCATGGAAAGAAAAGTGTGGAAAATGCTGAGCAAGACAAAAGCCTCATCACCTCTTTGCTTTGGTTTCATACAAACAACCCTCATGCTGCTTTTAACCAGCACTGCTTAATATAGCTCTCATTTTCCCCCTCTGAATTGACTGAATAGCAATGTCATGCAGTGTATATTCCAACATGAATGAGGTCTTAGAATGCAGAGAAATGCCAAGGCAGGAAAGCCCATAAGACTCTTATCTCCAATTAACCACAAAAAGCCAGAAGTAGAGCTGTGGCTCAAGTGGTAGAGCACTAGCCTTGAGCACAAAAGCTTACAGACAGTGCCCAGGCCCAGATTTCAAGCTCCAGGACCAGCAAAAAAGAAAATGCAGAGAAAACATTGGATTCTTTAGCCCCTGATTCTGTCATGTGGGCCTAGCCCTTGGTTCCGTTCTTCCCACTATATGCATGAACCATCAACATGGCTGTTGGGAGCAGAATGAAGACGGGGACATCTAGCCCCTTAGGATGACTTTACCTCCTTGCTTTTGTTCCAGTGGAAGCAGAATGCGCCCATCCTGGCACGACGGGCCATTGGTCAGACCCTGATGATTAACCAGCTTATCGATATGGAGTGGAGGTTTGGAGGTAACCAGTGAGAGCCAGTCCTTGTGTGGGGCTGGCCTGGGGGTTGCAAAGGCTTTTGGAGACCCTGGGTGGGAGGATACTTCCTTAGTCTCAAACAGGCTGCCTGTGGACCACCTGAAAAATTGGGGTCTTTGGGGAAAGTCATCAGTCAGTCACTTGCTATGTTTCTTTCGTTACAGTGACATCAGGGAGTAGTGAATTGGAGAAAGTGGGAAGTATTTTTTTACAAGTAAGTCTTATCTGCACGGGGAGATTTTTGAATTGTTTAAAATTGGTTAGGGGCTGGGAATGTGGCTTAGTGGAAGAGTGCTTGCCTAGCATGCATGAAGCCCTGGGTTCAATTGCTCAGTACCACATACATAGAAAATGCTGGAACTAGCACTACGGCTCAAGTGGTAGAGTGCTAGCCTTGAGCAAAAGAAACTCAGGGACAGTGCCCAGGCCCTGAGTTCAAGCCCCAGAACAGGCAAAAATAAATAAATAAACAAATAAAACAAAAATAGAATAAAATTGGTTAGGGTTAAGATGAGGGTCAAATAGTAGATTGCTTACCTACCCAGCAAGAAAACCCTTAGTTCAAGCCAGGAGCCTGTAATCCTAGCTACTCAGGTAGCTGAGACCTGAGGATCACGGTTCAAAGCCAGCCTGGGCAGGATAGTCCGTGAGACTCTTTTTTTTTTTTTTTTTTTTTTTTTTTTGGTTGGTCATGGGGCTTGAACTCTGGGCTTGGGCGCTGTGTCTGCACTCTTCAGCTCCAGGCGAGCGCTCTGCCACTTGAGCCACAGCACCACTTCCAGTTTTCTAGTGGTTTATTGAAGATAAGAGTTTCACAGACTTTCCTGGGGCTGGGAGGGTGGCTCAGTGGTAGAGCACTTGCCTTAAATGCCTGAGGCCCTGGGTTTGATTATTCCTCAACACCACATAAACAAAAAGAAAAAAGCCGGAAGTGGCACTGTGGCTCAAGTGGTAGAGCACTAGCCTTGACGCCCCTCTTGTGAGACTCTTATCTCCAATAAACCAACAGAAAACTAGAAGTGGTGCTGTGGATCAAGTGGTAGAGCGCTAGACTTGAGTTGAAGAACTAAGGAACAATGCCCAGGCCCAGAGTTCAAGCCCCATGACCCCCCCACACACACCAGAAAAGAAAACCCTTAGTTCAAATGCCATTACTGCCCCCCCCACCCCTGCCCCCCCCCAAAAAAAATTGTTAGATCCAGGTATGGTGGGGTACTCATGTAATCTTAGTGTGAGGATTGAGATTTGAGACCAGTCTGGGCCACATAGCAGCACCCTATCTCAAAAGTAAATAATTCGCTGTGTGCTGGTTGCTTGTACCTATAATCCTAGCTGCTCAAGAGGCTGAGATGTGAGGACTGAGGTTCGAAGCCACAAGAAAGTCCATGAGGAGCTGGGAAGGTGGCTCAGCGGTAGAGTGCTTGCCTTGCATGCATAAGGCCCTGGGTTCGATTCCTCAGCACCACATAAACAGAAAAAGCCGGAAGTGGCGCTATGGCTCCAGTGGTAGAGCGCTAGCCTTGAGCTAAAGAGCTGAGGGACAGTGCCCAGGCCCAGAGTTCAGGCCCCATGACTGGCAAAAAAAAAAAAAAAAATCCATGAGACCCAGCAAAAAGTCATTAGAGAGCTATGGCTAAAGTGAAGGAACAGGAGCTGGGAAGGTGGCTCAGTGGTAGAGCGCTTGCCTTGCATGCCTGAAGCCCTGGGTTCGATTCCTCAGCACCACATAAGCAAAAAGAAAAAAGCCGGAAGTGGCACTGTGGCTCAAGTGGTAGAGCACTAGCCTTGAGCTGAAGAGCTGAGGGACAGCGCCCAGGCCCAGAGTTCAGGCCCCATGACCGGACCCAAAAAAAAACAAACAAACAATAAAGTGAAGGAACACCAAGCCGGGTGCTGGTGGCTCACGCCTGTAATCCTAGCCACTAAGGAGGCTGAGATCTGAGGATTGCGGTTCAAAGCCAGCCCGAGCAGGAGAGACCGTGAGACTCCTATCTCCAATAAACCACCAGAAAACCGGAAGTGGCGCTGTAGCTCAAGTGGTAGAGTGCTCGCCTAGAGCTGAAGAGCTAAGGGACAGCGCCCAGGCCCAGAGTTCAAGCCCCATGACCGACAAAAAAAAAAGTGAAGGAACACCAGCCTTGAATGAAAAAGCTCAAGGACAGTGCCCAGGCCCTGAGTTCAAACCCCAGTACTGGTACCAAGAAAAAAAAAAAAAAGGAATAGAATTACTGGTGGTGGCGATGCAGCCTGCTTCTGTGTGGCTTTCGAGCTGGTACCCATTGATCGTAGCTGTGGTGGAGCCCGGGTAGGGTAATGTTAACTTGTTCCAGATACTGGGATGATTCAGTGCTGATTACGTGAAGGGGTCTGGGGGCGAGGGGGTTCTCTGTCTAGTTAACATTTTAATTTAAGTGTTTTCTTTCTTTTTTGTAACCAGCTAAAATTGGTGGTCAAGAAAGGGAACCAAACTGAAAACGTGTATATAGGTGAGTCAGAACTCTGCCACATGCCCTTCCACTTCCCTGCGCTGTCCTCAGCAGCCATAAACATCCCTTCCAGAGACAGGGACATCACTGCTGTGGAATAGCCAGTCTACTCCTTTCCTCTCCTACAAGATGGGTCCGGATGCGATTGAGCCACAGCTCAAGTGGTAGAATTTGAACCCAAGCCCTTATTATATTAGTTCATCCCCAGGACTGTCAAAACATAAAGATTATGCCAGGTGCTGGAGGCAGGAGTATCATTAAGCTGCCCCCAGGGTAGAAACCTCAGTAGAACAACTTTTTTGGAAGAAAAGAATGGTGGGGCAGTGGGCTGGGAAGGTGGCTTAGTGGTAGAGTGCTTGCCTAGCATGCATGAAGCCCTGGGTTTGATTCCTCAGTACCACATACACAGAAAAGACCAGAAGTGGTACTGTGGCTCAAGTGGTAGAGGGCTAGCTTGAGCAAAAAAAGCTCAAGGACAGTGGCCAGGCCCTGAGCTCCAGCGCTAGCTAGGACTAGCAAAAAAAAAAAAAAAAGGCTTGGATTGAAGGCCAGAAGCTCTTGTGGCACAAGTCACATTGGTCCTCCTAAAGGACGTAGGTATTTGCTTCTCAATACCTCACTCTTTTCTGGAGAGCCTCTGTGTTTTTTGGTTTTTGTTTTTTTTGCTGGTCATGGAGCCTGAACTCTGGCCAGGGCACTGTCCCTCAGCTCTTCAGCTCAAGGCTAGCGCTCTACCTCTGGAGCCACAGCGTCACTTCGGGCTTTTTCTGCTTATGTGGTGCTGAGGAATCGAACCCAGGGCCTCATGCATGCAAGGCAAGCGCTCTACCACTAAGCCACCTTCCCAGCCCCTCTGTGTTCTTTATTGAGGACATCTGAGCTGCTTGGCTAGGTGAGGGAGTAGAACTCTTGCCTAGCATGCACAAGGCCCTCCTGAGTTGGGGTTCTGTCCCCAGCACTAAAAAAGAAGAAAATCTCTGGGTGGAAATGAATTTTCTCGGGAAATTCTGCGGAGTTGGGAATACTCACTGCAGCTGAACTCTTCTCTCTGCAGAATTAACCTTGCCTCAGTTCTACAGCTTCCTGCATGAGATGGAGCGTGTCAGAGCCAGCATGGAGTGCTTCAGCTGACCCCCGGCCCTGCAGGTCCCTGGCTTCTTCCCTGGTGACTGTTCCGAAAGGTGCCTTCCTCAGGCTTGTGGCCACCTTGTGGGGAGCCCAGGTGCAAAGAGTTCCGGAAAACAACAGGATTAAGTAGTAGCCCAGCACAGTCCCCAGTAAACTTCAGGAACCAACTCCGCTGTCTCTCAAGACAGGCTGTTGCCCTTCCTGACCCTGCTCCAAGTAAAGAAATGGAGCCACGGTCCAGATCACAACACACCAACTAGGATACAGATGATGGAGCCAGAGGCCTCCTGTCTAATCCTACATGCTCCATCCCCATTCCTAACTTCATCCTGTTGCATGGCAAGAAGGCAGACATTTTGGGAATTTTGAATTGCCTTAGCTTATTTTTGGCTTCAAGTGACCACCTCTGTTGATTAGATGATGAATTAAAAAAAAAAAAAGTTGTAAAGAAAGGTCTGATTCAGTTGTCTTTTTACATAAAATGCCCTCTAAAGCAGAAAAGTGAGTTTGAGGCCATCTTGGGCTATACAATAAAACCCTGTCTCAAAAAAAAATAAAAACAAGGGCTGGGAAGGTGGCTCAGTGGTAGAGCGCTTGCCTTGCATGCCTGAGGCCCTGGGTTCCATTCCTCAGCACCACATAAGCAAAAAGAAAAAAAAAAAGCCGTAAGTGGCGCTGTGGCTCAAGAGGTAGAGCGCTAGCCTTGAGCTGAAGAGCTGAGGGACAGCGCCCAGGCCCAGAGTTCAGTCCCCACGACTGGACCCAAAATAAATAAATGAATAAATAAATAAAAACAAGAGCCAGGCACTGGTGGCTCACACCTATAATCCTAGCTACTCAGAAGGCTGAGATGAGGATCGCAGTTCAAAGCCAGCCTGGGCAGGAAAGTCCATGTGCCTCTCATCTCCAGTTAACCAGTAGAAAACCGGAAGTGGTGCTGTGGTTCAAGCGGTAGAGTGCTTGCCTTGAGCAGAAGAGCTGAAGGACCAACGCCCAGGCCCAGAATTCAAGCCCCATAACCAATTAAAAACAAAAAGCCAGAAGTAGAGCGGTGGCTCAAAATGGTAGAACACTAGCCTTGCCCAAAAGAGCTCAGGGGCAGTGCTAAGCTCTAAATTCAAGCCCCAGATCTGGCACCAAAAAATAAACTGAAAGCTTATGCTGATTGGCTGTTATCTGTCCCAAGGGCCTTGCTGACTGGTTTTTCTTCCTAGGAGTACCATTTGAATTGCACACCCACGAGCTCCCAATGCTCTGCCCTCACTTCCTCATCCTCCTGGGCTACAGATGTTTTCCTTAGGACAAATTTCCCACAGGCCTCCTTAGGGAAGGGGACTCTTCACCACAGGTGCCACCTAGTTGTCTCTATTTACCCCACCACACTCCTGTTACTAGTTTATTTTCTTTCTTTCTTTCTCTTTCTTTCTTTCTCTCTCTCTTTCTCTCTCTCTCTCTCTTTCTTTCTTTCTTTCTTTTTCTTCTCTCCATTGTGGCGTTTGAACTCTGGGCCTTGGCACTGTACCTCAGCTCTTCAGCACAAAGTGAGTACTCCACCATTTGAGTCACAGTGCCATTGGTTTTCTGGTGGTTAATTGGAGATAAGAGTGTCACAGACTTTCCTTCCCAGGCTGGCTTTGAACCTCGATTCTCAGACTCCAGCCTCCTCTCCTGAGTAGCTAGGATTACCGATGTGAGCCACCAGCTCCCGGCTTACCTTTTTTTTTTTGTGGGTCCTGGGGCTTGAACTCTGGGCACTGTCCCTCAGCTCTTCAGCTCAAGGCTAGTTACTTACAACTTGAGCCACAGCACCATTTCCGGCTTTTTTTCTGCTTATTTGGTACTGAGGAATAGAACCCAGGGCCTCCTGCATGCGAGACAAGCACTCTACTACTGAGCCACGGTCCCAGCCCTCTAATTTGCTTTGGAGGTAACAGTTTTCCTGGATTGACCAAAAACTTGTGATCCTTGCAGGGCAAGAGCTCACACCTATAATCCTAGCTACTCAGGAGGCTGAGATCTGAGAATGTGACTCAAAGCCAGCCTGGGCAGGAAAGTTTATGATGACACTTTTCCAGTCCTAGGGCTTCAACTCTAGGCATGGGATCTGTCCCTGAGCCTTTCTGTGCTCAATGCTAGCGCTCTACTACTTGAGCCATAGCACCACTTCTGGCTTTTTCTGTGTATGTGGTACTGAGAAATCAAACAAGGGCTTCATTCATGCTAGGCAGGCACTCTACCAATGAGCCACATTCCCAGCTGTATGGTGACATTCTTATCTCCAATTAACCACAGAAACAGTCAGAAGTGGTGTTGTGGCTCAAATGGTAGAACGCTAAACTTGAGCAAGAGATTCAGGGAAGTGCCCAGGCCTATATCTCAAGCCCCAGGACGGGCAGGCAAGAAAGAAAGGAAGGCAGGAAAGCAGGCAGGCAGGCATAGGTCCAGGATAGGTCCAAATAAATACAAAGAGTCTACCCTTCCACCACTGCATCCCCACTGCCTACACATGCTACATGTCCTGTGCTGCAGCCACCAACCCATGAGGCTACCATGGAGCCTGCAAAGCATTCCCACCCCAATCAGCACCCCTTGGAATTCCATCCTTCTACTGCAGAGATGCAGGCTAGCCTAGGCTCTAATACTGACCCTGCTGGGTTCACCTGAAGCTATTCCTTATCAAGTAAGTGTTAATTGTTTCCAGAGTCTCTTCTTCCCTGGCTTCTGGGCTTCTTGATAAGAGGTTTGTTTTTCAGCTCAGCCATCCTTGCACTTAGCTTCATTCAGGTCCCTTCCTCCTCTTCTTCCTCCTCACCCTGTCCCCCACCATCCCACCCTAGTCCCTACTTTGTTATAGTGCCTGTCCTTTGTGAAGACGAAATTACAGGCATGCCCAGCACATTACAGGCTTGCCCAGCATACTGGGTTTTGTTGGTCAATTTATTTTACTGCCAGTTGAGCCACTCTACCAGACCATTGGCTTCCTTTCCTTCCTTCCTTCCTTCCTTCCTTCCTTCCTTCCTTCCTTCCTTCCTTCCTTCCTTCCTTCCTTCCTTCCTTCCTTCCTCCTTCCCTCCCTCCCTTCCTCCGTCCCTCTCTCTCTCTCTCTCTTTTTTTTTTTTTGGTTGGTCGTGGGGCTTGAACTCTGGGCCTGGGCGCTGTCCCTCAGCAATTCAGCTCAAGGCAAGCGCTCTACCACTTGAGCCACAGTGCCACTTCTGGTTTTCTAGTGGTTTTATTGGTGATGAGAGTCTCAAGGACTTTGCTGCCCGGGCTGGCTTTGAACTGTGATCCTCAGATCTTAGCCTCCTGAGTAGCTAGGATTACGGGTGTGAGCCACTGGCGCCCGGCTCTTTTTTTTATTTGCTGATCCTGGGGCCTTTTAAACTCAGGACCCTTGCATTGTCCCTGAGCTTTTATGCTCATGTCTAGCAGTCAAACACTGAGTCACAATGCTATTTTTGACTTTTTTTTTTTTGTTCATTCATGAAGGCTGAACTCTGGGCCTAGGCACTGTCCCTCAGCTCTTCAGCTCAAAACTAGTGCTCTACCACTTGAGGCATAGCACCGGCCTTTTTTGCTTATGTGATGCTGAGGAATCGAACCCAGGGCCTCATGCATGCAAGGCAAGCACTCTACCACCTTCCCAGCCCCTATTTTTGACTTACTGATGGTTGGTTAATTGGAAATAGGAGTGTAAGAGACTCCTGCCCAGGCTAGCTTCAAACTGTAATCCTCAGATCTCCACCTCCTGAGTAGCTAGGATTATAGATTTCAGTCACCAGCACCCAGCAGGTTTCAGATTTTTTGCTGGAGCTAGCCTGCATCTTGACCCCATTTATGCTTCCAGCATAGCTCAAGTGACAGGCACATAGTACTACTCCCAGATTTTTATTGATTGAGATGAGTCTCACCAACTTTTACCAGGACTAGCCAGGAGCTTCAGTCTTCCCAATCTCATTCTCCTGAGTAACCAGGATTGCAGGCATGTGCCACATCTCCAGGCTTGTTGGTTCAGTTATAACACATAGACAGATGGAAGCGGGAGGTAGCCAGGCTGGGCCACCTCTCAGTAAATGAAGACCTTGTTTCCTGATTTGACCATCATTCTCAGAGCACCTCCCGGCCTCCTAGCGGAACGTGGCTCACAGACTGCAGTCCATTCTTTGGCTGGACGTGGTGTTTCTCTCTCTCTTTCTTTTAGAGAGTGAGGTGTAATGTTCACTAAGATGGTAATGGTTGGGGCTGGGATGGTGGCTTAGGGGTAGAGTGCTTGTATGCATGAGGCCCTGGGTTCGATTCCTCAGCACTACATAAGCAGAAAAAGCCAGAAGTGGCGCTGTGGTTCAAGTGGTAGAGCGCTAGCCTTGAGCTGAAGAGCTGAGGGACAGCACCCAGGCTCAGACTTCAAGCCTCATGACTGGCAAAAAAAAAAACAAAGATGGTAATGGTCAAAGCCAGTTCCCAATGGCTCATGCTTATAATCCTAACTACTCAGGAGGGGCTGAGATCTGAGGTTTGAGATTCAAAAACAGCCTGGGCAGGAAAGTCTGTGAGACTCTAATCTCCAGTTAACCACCAAAAAGCCAGAAATAGAGCTGTGGCACAAGTGGTAGAGTGCTAGCCTTGAGCACAAAAGCTCAGGGACAGCACCCAGATCTTGAGTTCAAGTCCCAGGACTACAGGCACAAAACACACAAATAGGAAGAACAGGGGGCTGGAAAGGTGGCTCAGTGGTAGAGTGCTTGCCTTGCATGCCTGAGGCCCTGGGTTTGATTCCTCAGCACCACATAAGCAAAAAAAGAAAAAAGCCGGAAGTGGTGCTGTGGCTCAAGTGGTAGAGCGCTAGCCTTGAGCTGAAGAGCTGAGGGACAGTGTTCAGGCCCCACGACCGGACCCCCCCCCCAAAAAAAAAGAAATAGGAAGAACAAGAAATATCTGTCTTCTGCCGGGCGCTGGTGGCTCACGCCTGTAATCCTAGCTACTCAGGAGGCTGAGATCTGAGGATCGCGGTTCAAAGCCAGCCCGGGAAGGAGAGACCGTGAGACTCCTATCTCCAATAAACCACCAGAAAACCGGAAGTGGCGCTGTAGCTCAAGTGGTAGAGCGCTCGCCTTGAGCTGAAGAGCTGAGGGACAGCGCCCAGGCCCAGAGTTCAAGCCCTACGACCGACAAAAAAAAAAAAAAAAAAAAGAAATATCTGTCTTCTTTCTCTAGAAGGGGGGCGGGCAGGGAACCTGTCC